TAGGTGGATAAGGAGAGACCGAAACTATTTGCAACAGTCGCCCTCTCTTCCGTATGAGCCCAAGGAAAGTGAGACCTTTAGGGAGTCCGATTCATATTTAGTAATGCCATCCTTAACTATGGGCTGATTATTTTAAGACCTGATACAACTGACCGCTATCGACAACAGACTTTCAAACTCCTGCTTCAGATGGGTAAATATTGATAGCTGATATCGATCCTCCTTCGGAAATGGAAGTTACTCGGAAAATAAGTCTCCCCAAAAAGGCATAACGCATCCAGTCAGAATCGGCTGTCTCCGTCGGCTTTTAGAGCTGATGAAACTCCAGGGTTCACTGTGTGAGCCGGTCATTTTACCGATTTACAAGAAAGGCAACAAACAGATCATTATGTGCATACCACAGAGTACTTAGTTGATTCAGCATTGTATCTAAACTTCTCGCAAGCATTGTATCCCGTGGGGTGTTTGCCACACGTGAACGGTGTATGCTTGAGAAGATGCATAGACCACATTGTCTCTCCTAGCCCATTTGTGGAACACAGACATTCCTTTCGTAGATCCAGCACTTCTGTCTTCCTCTATCTGAAAAGCGGCACTACAATCAATTTTTTACTGCAGCTGGCTCCTTGGAAAAGATAAGCCGGCTCCAGACATGAACATGACCTTGAAATTCCTTGCGAGTTCCGTATGAGAGACGCCCCCAGTGTCACTCGGTGTTTAAATTTGAGGGTGCACCTCTAGTCTTTGCACAACCAAGTGCAAACTGCACGGCAGCAGAAAGTAATCCCTTACCTCGGAAGTAAGGGAGTTAATGACTTTAGTTTCAAAAGGCCTGTCATATAGACCCTTGTCACGACACCGTCATTGGGCTTATGTGGCTTTTAAACAGGAGCCAGGTAACCAGCCTGAAACCCAACACACCTTGGCAGTGCCGCTGTTTGTTCGCGACTGCTTATTTATTGCGGTATGCCACAACTTATTCACAGCTAACCTTCTTCGGTGAGGGTATCCCCTTCAACCCAGGGATGCGCCTGGTAGCATTCAGCTCTGCTTAACCCGAGGGTATCCGGTTTACCGCTCTATACTCTTGCGTTGTGCTAGAGGCGTTGACTGAGGGATCCTTCCTGCCCGATTTCGCCAGGAAAAGCGGTGTACACCACCGGAATTTGTGAATAACACACGAAATTCATGTGCTGGTTACCGTGCAGCATATCAGACTGAATTAAAGGAATAGCCGGGGGAAACAAATTCGAAAACAAACTCAAAGGTGCTGCTTCTATAGTGATCAAAGCGAACTGCTCACTAGTCGCAAGTGGAGACCGGATCCCTGTCGGTTAGTCAGTATTTTTTTACTCACGCCTGACAGGCTGTCAGCAGTCTT